GGGCGAGCGGGCGGCGGACGGGCGGTGGCTTAGATGAAAAAACGGAATCTCAAAACACATTTTTTGGTGTTTTAAGAAAAGTGTTTATTTTTTGGATTTTGTAAAGGGTCAAGTCAAAAAATCATCCCGGTTGCCAAACACGTTTCATTATTTTTTTTTGAAAAAAAAACAAAAACGGCAAAAACGCCATGGTTGCCAAACGCTCCTACAATGCGTAAACGGTAAACCCCTACATACGGTTATCGGAAAAATCCCTTAAAATATCAGAAAAGCCGCCCTTCAAGTGTAAGGATCATCCCAAAACTATCCTTTTAACTTGCGGATTTCATCAAAAAACCTTGTTTTAACTTTGAATTTTCTGATAAATTTTCAAAGCTAAAGGATATTTTCTAATAACTCCTAAACCTGAGGGGAGGTTTCTGACAATAGTAACGTGGTTGAATTTTTGTTATGGAATTGATTTTATTTATTTATTGTTTTATTTTATTTTTTTTTGTCTAGAGATTTAGAAGAGAACTAGTGTGCACCCGTGCAAAGCACGACCCCCTATTTTTGGATTAATAACTCCCTAACTAGGTTTTCTGGCAATATTTACCGTTCGCAACACAATAATCACTGTAGTATCTACTGTAATATGAATAGATTATTTGAATCCTCCTATAAGTATAGAAGAATAGATTGTCTGTGTAAATTGTAATTAATCAATGATTCATTGTACCGATGAAGTTGGGAAATTGTTAATGAAAGTTTTTGTTCTTTCAAGTGACAGATGTGTTTTTCAAGATATGTTCTTCATGTAGATATTTTCTGAGATATTATCTACTTATATCATGATTTCATAATTTCGGTGTTTTATAAAAGTGGAAAGTAATATGAAACAATACTCATTAGGTTGCTCACTTAAATTCATTAAAAAGATAAGCCTTGGACGTCTACATATTAGAATGTGGAGAATTTGAAAGTTATGCAAAAAAATGGTCAAAATTATGAGCAATTAAGCATTTAGCAGCATCGACGTCAAGAATCCTAGAAAAATAGTTACTTGAAAACAAAGCGAACTCTATAATCAGCTTGCTTTTGAATTAACAAAGCAGCATACTCTTCAATCGTTTAGTCGTAACTCGTAAGCGAACAAAAGAGCATCACATTAATTATGATTTCAACGACCGAGTGCATCAGAATCATGCTAGCGTGCGACTCTAAACATGAGCCCGAATCGATTTGGACACCGGTTGTCTTTGGCTCGGTCATGCTTCGGCCGAGAGCGTGCTAGTTTTGTTAAAGTCACGATTTTGAGTTGGTGATGATTGAGAAGTTGACGCCAATTAGGTTAGGGATAAGCATGTGGTGTATTTGAATTCTAATTACATTAGAATAGTAGGGTTAGTAGAAGTCTCATTCGTTTGAGCAGCAAGAGATCAGGTCTCGGGGTCCATACATGTGTTCAGAGGTCACAACAACAACAATCAAGTCATTTGTCTCAAATGTTTGGGGCCGGCTACATGAATGATATTTTTCCATTCCATTCCATTATGTTTCGGGTCATCTCCTCCGTTAAGTTAGTCTTAATCACATCCTTCATAATTGTTTCTCACCAAGTCATTTTAGGTCTACATCCAGATATTCTAACCCCATTGACTCTAATATTATCGCTTTTTATAATCGGTGCACTAAAATGTCTCTGTTGTACGTGACCAAATATATATGTGTTCAGACTTCAGAGGTAATCCCAATTAATAACCATCAATTTTGCAAGCTTCACGAATTGGCTCATCAATACTATCAAGTTGAGCCTATTATCAATACAAACTTACAAGATCGTGACTTCAAAATTTTCGGCTTGAACTAAGCCCTATTAAAGCCCATGTTAAAATAATAATAATTAAAAAAAGCCCCGTTAACAGTTGTAGGATAAGGGTGATAGATAAGAGTAGGGTTGTTTGTTTTAACGCGGTTTAGTTATTAGGATCTAAAAAAAAAAACCCAACCCAAATTCGAAGTGGAGTCTAATATTTACGGTTTTGGTATTCAAAGTGCAGCAGAACTAGGATTGAGATCTTGCGATTTCCCGCATCATGTCATTTAATTACAGGCTCGGACTCCCTTCAAACCTCTGTTCTACGATGGCGGGACGAAGACATCGTCTTCTACAATATTCTCCCTCGAATTCCGACGGCTCTTTCTTCGCAGCGCAACAGTCTCGACACAGTAAGTCCTCGTCCCCGTGGCTTATAATTGCCCTGAACGCCGAGAAAAACCGCCTCCTCGCTCCCCCCCCACGGTAGGAACGAGCTCCGTCGCCGTCGACCCCGATCCTACGTTCAGTTTCGCAGGCGGCCGGCCACACCTTCGCCTTGGGCATCCTGTCCTCCACCAACGGCCTCCTCTGCATTCACTGCTACGATTTCACAGGAGAATTTCTCTACGTTCGCAATATCCCGCGACGATGAAGGGAACGCGCGTTCCCATCCCCACAGAGGACTCGGTCGGACCGGCATCCGACCCGTACGTCAATGTCTACGAAGCGTCACAAGCTCGCCCATCTGACGCAGACCCACACCATGAATGGAGCAGTAGCGTACGGGTTCAAAGCTAGTTTTCTCGTCTTGTACCAGAGAGTGGACGGA